GTCTATGACGCTAAAGCTACGTTCTTGCGTAATGCGGAAGTGGGAGTGGTTAAATCTAAACTGGGTTGGAATAACGATAGACGCTTTCGGGCCAGCGGGCCATTTATAATGTCGAGCCCTGCATATCATATAAACACCAAATCCCAACATGCATTGCGGCTAAAACATCCAATCAGCGAGCTTAAACCATAGCTGAGGATCTTGGGTAATCGCTCAAAATGCCTACGTCTGTTTCCGGTTATTTTTATTTTGAAATTCAGTTCCTGACGGACGCCAAAAAAGCCAGAGATTATGGAATTAAACAAATAAATAAAAACAAGGATAATTGTGTATTATTGGTGAATAAATAACAGTATGTTATTTTGAAAAGAATAACAAATTAGAAGGAAAAAAATATTTAAAAAATACAGATTTCAGTATTCTGAGGCTCTGAGCCCCATTTATTTTCCTCACAGACGGCAACAAAAGTCAGAAATTATACGATTTAAAATAAAAGCAATAATTGTGGCTTGATATTGAGTAAGAACATGTTTTTATGAACCACACAGCTTCCGGTCTTCCTATAACACGTAATGCCGTGAGACTACCAATAGAAATACATTGCTTTTAAACACGTGCTGTGCAACACGAAAAAAAGGGGAAAATCGTGTTGGTGAACACGAATCAATAGCTAACAAATCGTGTTGGTGAACACGAAATGCCATGAGACTGGGTTGGACATTCATATATCGTTAGCCATGCCATCGGGACCAACTCGGGGTTCAGTATCTTGCCCAAGGATAGATTGACATGTTGACTGTAAGGGCTGGGAGGCTGCGATCAAATCGACATCCTTTTAATGGAAAGATGACGGCACACCACTTTAATATGCTTATACCCCATTATATCTCTAACGGACACCAGCTGTCAGTGAGGAACCACAGCCTGCCAGCTCAGAGGCAGGAGGAGTTCTGATGTAACTCCAGAGTCCTGTTGTTTTCCTCTCAATACTAGATTTAACACATTTTAAAATATCCATGAGGGATCTTAGTGGGACTTTAACGCTTTAGATCTGATGATGGCAGAGAGGCTTAACTTTGAATTTGTAACTTGTAATGAATCTGTAATACAGCCTAAAACTGAAAACCCAAAGTTTCCACATGTATTCAAACTGGAGTAAGGCTTGGAATAACAAAACAGGGGACCTGGGGGGATAACAGTCAATTGTTCAATTCTGAATGAAAAAAAAACACAGATTTTATTTTCCTTTGGCTGTGCAAATATTACACTGCAGACAAAAGCATGTCAGCAGCTCTGGTCTGAAGCCCTCAGCTATCAGAAAAACCGTGGTGCTGGAACAATGGCAAAGTTCTGCCATATTGCATTACACTGCTGTTTGTGTCCTGAGCCAAGCGGAAACATAGACAGAAAAATGAAAAGGTAAATCTGAGACCGGCTAAGTGTTTCATTTTGCTTCTAAGATCAAGATCTGTTGTCAAGGGTAACTGATCAACTAGTAATTCAGTACGATGTGTATTAGGGATGTAACGATACCAAAAACTCACGGTACGATAATATCGCGATAACAAGTCCACGGTACGGTATTTATCGCAATATTGAATTCTCTTTTTTTTTTAATGTTTTACTTGGAAAAATGTTCTTTATTAAATAATAAATCTGATTTGTACAGCATTATAGTAGGATAGCAGTATTTTAAAATGTCAAAAACAAAGTGACAGTAACAGCCTGGAACAAGAAAACCAGTGTTTTTGTACCTACTAATACTACCAAACAAAGTAGGCATTTTCTTTGTGCCACTGCACCTCACAAATAAACAAGGACATTTAATAATCAGACCCCGCAATAAAATAAATCAAGTTTCACTTAAGTTTTTCAAGTAACTCAACTCTAACTCACAAAGTCACTCACTCAGCATCATCAGACAGGTTTTTAGGAATATGAGCATGTCCACATTTCCAGGTAGAAGCTGGGATGTTTGGGCGTTTACAATATCCCCTGCTGTAGAAAAAAATCTCTCGCTTGGTACTGATGTTGCTGGGACAGCAGTGGTCGCGTTAACCGAATATTTTTTTTAACAATGACGGAAAAATCTGAAAGCAGTCTGTCATTTTGACAGATTAGAACAAACTCGGAACAGCACCAAAGTTTCCCCGCAGCGAGGCTCTGGTGTTATGCCGTGTTATGCATGCCTTCCAAAAGGAAATTATATAGTTTCCAAACCTAACTTTGCCGTACAAATCATTG